TGAGCCTTTTCAGAGCTCACATCCCCCACATCTGTCTAGCTGGAGAACTTCAGGTCAAATCTGCATGGGTAGACTTTTAATTGGTCTATTTTGAAGTATTTCATGGCTTGTCTTTGAGCCAGAAGTCTTTGAAGTGTTTTTGCTGATGAAGACACTTTTTGATTAGTTAAGACCAGTATATTCTTGGTGTGGCATAAAGCTGGGAACCATATTTTTCAAACTGTCCTTCCTATTGAATTCCTATTGAATTTTTGAAATATTTACAGATCTCAATAGTTTGTCTATGTAGTCACACATGGTAATAGCTTATCATGTGTGACTGCTTATGGTTTCTCCATTCCTTTTCTAGATTATCTCTGCCTTTCTCTAAGCCACACTTTTGTTATTTTAATGAAACTTGTGTACATGCCTATGACCTTGATGTCAAGAAGGTCTTTTCCAGTGGTTTGCAACAGCATAGGTCAAGGTCAATACATTTTTACCTTATCATATTTCCAGTATCCAACTCAGTTTGTTTTCTTTTCCCAGATGCTAAATCAGAACCACATAAAATATCGTATCTCCAATCTTTTTGGAGGCATGTTTTATAATTAACTAATTGCCTTTTTCTTATAACTTCACAATTAAAAAAATGATTTCTATGGTAGTTTGCCTTAAAAGGTCACTGTGATAATTACATCTCAAAATTACAATTAAAATATTTTGCTCCCATAGGAATTAGGTCTGCAGTTGGCTTGAGTAGTTTTGAGGACTTTTAATATTATAGTTATTATATTGTGGCTGTGTTCAGAATTAACTAATTATACTCAAACTGATTGTAAATTGTATCAGTATACATCTGCCATCAATGAAACTGACTAATCAAGGCTATGTAAAGCTCAGATATTGTAGTAGGATTTTTTCTGACATTTACTCAGTTACCTCTTAAAGCAAAAGTCATAGTCTGCAAAGAGCTTACAAAGCATCAAAGGGATCTCGTTGTTGAAAAGCATTATTCAGGGGAAGGGTGCAAAACAATTTCCAATACCATGTATTCCATGGTATACCCAATTTCCATTGGGTATACCATGGAATACAGTGAAGACAGTCATCAAATGTGGAGAAAAAATGGCATAACAGTGGCATTGCCAAAACTGGATGTTCCTCTAAAATTGATGAAAATGCAAGAAGAGAACCGGTTCTGGAGACTGCCAAGGTGCCTATAGCAACATTAAAGGAACTGCAGGAATTTCTGCCAAGTACTAGTTGTGTATTACATGGGAAGGCAATCTTCCATATTCTTCATATGTCTGGTTTTCGAGGTAGGGTGGCAGGATGGAAGCCTTTTCTTACAACATCCAAGCCAAGTTATATTTTGCAAAAAACAATATCAAGTCTGACAAAAACATTGGGAAAAATGTTTTATGATCTGATGAGACCAAGGGTGAACTTTTTGGACACAATTCCAAAATGTATGTTTGGTACAAAAACAACACTAGGCATTACCAAAAGTACACTATATCCACAGTGAAGCATGGTGGTGACAGCATTATGCTTTGGGGTTGCTTTTCTTCAGCTAGAACTGTTGTTTTAGTCAAAGTGGTGGGAATGATCAACAGTTCCAAATATTAATTAATTTTGCATAAAATCTTCAGGCCTTTGTTAATCTGATAAAGATGAAGAGAAATTTCACTTTTCAATACAACAACGATGCAATCAAAGAAAAGAATGACTTCACCAAAAGAAGACCAAACTTTGGCAATGGTCTAGGCAGAGCCAGGATACAAATCCAATTGCAAATCTATAGGGTAACCTGAAGAGGGCTGTGTACAGGATATGCCCTTGCAATCTGACAGATTTGGAGTGCTTTTGCAAGGAAAGGTGGACAAGGATTCACAAGGCAAGATATGGTATGCTGAGAGGCTTCTTCACCCATAGATTGAATGGTGTCATAAAATGAAAAAATGTTTTACAAAATGTTACTGTATTTTTCAGAGTATAAGATGCACTTTTTCCCCTCCTAAAAGAGCCAGAAAATTTGGGTTTGTCTTATATTCCGAATGTAGCTCCGCCCACCCACCAGCCCCTACCTTCCGTCCTCCACACATCCTCTTCCTGGCTGCAGAGATTGCCACCAACAATGGCTTGTGTTTTTGGGCTCCGCACATTGCATTTTCAACCTCCAAATGCTCAACGCATGGTGCCCAAAATGGCTACCTGGAACAGCTGCTTCCTTCTCTTACCTCTTCCCCGCTTTAGTCACTGGAGCTCCCTCTGAGGATCAGCTGTGCTTTTGAAGCTGTTTTTTAGCCCAAACACGAACTAAGCAATCTTCTGTGCTTTGCCTGCTTTTCTAAACTAAGGTGCGTCTTATAATCTGAAACTTATGGTAGTTTAAGGTTATGCAACCATGTTATTGTATACTCTTTATCGTTATTTCCCCCCTAAAAGATGTAAGTTTGTTTTTCAATTGAATTATACAGCTAATGTTATATTAAAGGTATAAAAAATTCTAAAGTACCGTAAGTTATCTTGGTCTGTTGGTTTTTTTTAACATCTCAAAAACCTGGCATTTTAACAGGAGTATGTAGACTTTTTATATCCACTGGAGCTTTTAGATTTAAAAACTAGCATTTAGAAGTGTACCTGACAAATCAATGCAAAGCTTTCAGCACTGGTATTATGTGCAAATCTGAATAAAAAATCTAATAAATAGACTGCAGGTTCTAAGTTGCCTTTAAAGATCCCCCCAATAAAATATATTGTGGTAATGTAATTGGCTGTAAAAATCATTGTTTCTGCTGTTACTTTGTTGTCTTCCTATTGAAGTGGAAGCAGGCTAGCAAACTTACTAATTATGGTAAATAGGCCACTTTCTGAGTGAGAAAACCTGGACTGCTAATGCCCTATTCTTTAGAAAAACAGCCAGGATGTATGAATGTCTTCCTAACATTTATACTAAATTATTCCATCCAAAATTCAAGATTGGTTACTCCATCAATATTATTTGTACAAATACAAGTCCCCAATATGGCAGCACCTTCCCTGAAGTCATAACTAAACAAATTAAAAGGTATGTGTGTTGAAACCATCTAGCATAAAACTGAGAAGTAGAATGTGATCATTTGAATTATTTCTCACAATGATAAGTGGATATAATAGAGTTCATATTTACTTAGTAGTAAATGATACATCAATTTTAAAATATATTCAGAATGAATTTAACATTTGTTTGTAAAGAAATAAACATTCCTCGTTAACTTCAAACATATTCACCTTCAGTCCCTTAATGCTATTTTAAAATTGGGATAGTTGAAAATATATTTGCATACATCACTAAATTTCCAATTACCATGTAAATGACAACTGAAAGAAACAGGGGTTCAACGCTTTAGTTAAAGAAGTGTTGATTTTAAAAGCTTTTTATCAGACGTGAGACTTTACTTTGCGAATATGTACCCATCATCAGTCTGATGATATGAACAGCAAATAAGCCTGCAATTCTTTCAGGTTGAAATAGCTTTCTTTAAAAAAAAAATGCACAGCAGGAATCCTTTCCCAACACTAAAATAAATGACAAAGTAAAAAACCAGTCTTCCATAGGCATTTAATGAAGACATGCTTCAAGGGATTTTCTGTATTAGAGATCATTTTACACCCCAGGACAAAAGAAAAACAGTACAGCTTTGCAGTCAGAAGCTGCAATCAAAGGAGAATAAAGAAAATAACAAAAACATTGCTTGTTAAATCACTTACAATGGCTTTCCTTTGGATTCACAAATCAAAGTTATAGATAGTCCTTCTTCTGGCCACAGTGTGGAAGGTATTATTTTAACTGAAGGAATATCTGGAAAAATAATATTTATAAAATCAGATTAAATTTGTATACAAATTGTACTGTGCAAATTATGAAAGCAACATAAAAATTCACTTGTGGATGAGTTAACCTTAGAATTTATTCAAGCTACGATTCTGAATTCAGGTGGGTATATGAATCTGTACACTGTACATAATTTTAGCATTGAATAGCACAGAATGGCTATAGGGGATCTAGATGCCATTACAATACAATAATAAGACATACAGTGTAAAGTATGATCTAAAGCAGATCTTATAGAATATCTTACATTCACAAGGCAGGGAGCGATGCAACAGTAAATTTGACTAATGACAAGTAGGAACAGTTGGAAAATTGTACATGAACAGTCCTAGCCTTGTTATGTCAGTTAGAATTATTTCCTGCGTCATCTCTCTTCTTCTCGAAATTTTGCTTTTTGGTTCAAAACCAGTGGACTTTCATTAGTACATTGTACAGAAATTTCAAAACCACAAATGACAAACATAACAAATAGCTTAATTGCAGCACTAGTAATATATCTAAAAGCTTATCATTGTTCTTTTGATTCTGTATTTGATTTTCATTTTTTTTTTTAAAAAATTAGGGATATTTCTTTCACAGTATCTGAATACTTTCATATGGAAGCACAGTTTTCATTACTTCTTTGCACTAATGATTATAGTAAAATCCACTTCTTGCAATAACCTTGCTTTGACCTGTTTACCAGCTAAAGTACAAAAACAGTATTTAATTAGCCCATCAGTTTATGTTCTTATACACATGACTGGCTTTATTAGAGAAATCTATAACCAAAATGCCTGATGCTAGTCACTCAGCAATATCTGCTCCATCCATTCCTAGTAGCCCTTTCATGCATATTTTATTCATGCCTGAAAAGGGCTTGATGCTTGAACATATCACTTGCATTTAAATTATGTAAAGGCCAGGCAGTGGGAAATTGTGAAATCTTAGATTAGAATCTAAAAGAATAATAATAGTGCTCAGTACATTTTTGAGAATATGGAAAGAGTTAAGACAAATTGTTCATCAAATGCAAACATATATAAACAATTTGTACAGAAATTTAGATAAATTATATTTTTGTTATGCAGCATGCATCTATGTAGAAACAAGCCATGCAACACTACATTCATATCTTTTTATCTTTTCTTTCTTAAACTATATATGATACCGTCACAGATTATATGGATTTTCTATAGAAGACCCAACAGGATTGGCTTTGCATTAAGCAAAATATGGCAAAATCCTAAACTTCAGGGAATGGAGGAAAAACATCTAATCATTCTTATATTTCTGAGTGTATAATTTTATGTTGATTGTTGAACTAGATGAACGGCTTGTTAATCAAATCATGTTATACAGATGCATTGCAAACAATACCCTTAAGCCTTCAAACAAGTTGAATTCTGTACTTGGAGTGTGGTGCTCATAAGAATGACATGCTCTATTTTGGTGATTTGGTGACAAGTTGCAATGGAGAATTTATTTCAAAAGGTAATTAACATGACTCAGGAAAAAGTCTTGGGAACAGTGATGTGGTACATCAACATTATCAGTTATGTCTATGGGCCTGAATGGACACTAAAACACCATTCATTTTAAGTGTTCATATTTCTCATGATACTCTGTAACAGCATGAGAAATGGTAGTTATAGAAGTTATTCATATAGCTCCTATACCATAAGGGGAACCATACATTGTCTTCAAATTGTGCAATTAATTTGAGATTTAGCAGTAATTTAGTCATGACAAAGAGATATATAAAGCTAATAAAAAAGCAGCAAATATACACTATTTTCATTTCTCAAAATAAAGTATCTGTACAATTAAATTAGCATTCTAATTAAAACAATGATACAATGTAGTTGTTTACATAAAGTGGGAAGCTCTGTTCAAAACCAAACTGTGTAGCAAGTGAGTAATAAGCTATATTAAATGAATGCAACTAGCAATTTACTTGGAATAGTTATAACTGTGGTAGGATGTAGTGATATGATAAATTATTTAAACTGAATAAGTGAATGGTCTTGGAAAAATGAAGGAAGAATACTGAAATATGGAAGAATAACCCACACATTACAATTATACATTTTTTAAAAAATCTTGTTTTTGGAATTCTAATCTTCACACAAAAACCTTGCTTATTATTAAACTGTGTGAGCGCACATTATAAAAACTAAATTTAGTTCTTAGAAATAATATGAATTTGTGAATTCAATTAGATACTTTCAAAAAGGTAATATCTTTAATCTCTTTGTTATCAGCTTTCCAAATATTAACTTAAATGCTGAAAATGGTTAACTATATTTCTGCTCTCTCTCCTATGCAGCCCTTGAGTATGAAAGCTTAGATCTATAGATATTGAGAAAGTATAGTTTTGTCAAGAGACAAAGAGAGAGGGAAGAAAAGGGAGATTTTCTTGTATATGATCTAAAAGAACTCCCAGCTTTCAAAAGCTGTGGGAGGAGAAGTGTTGAACAAGAATAACTGAGATTAATTGGATGTATTCTGCAGAATTGCAACATAAATGTCCTTAAAAGTTCACATAGAAATATATCCTTTTTCTGTGGATTATAGGTAAACTAATTAAACTAAAATAGTTTATATATACACAGAGCAGTTTGGAAGAGCCTTGGGAGTTAAGATTTGGTCACCAAGCTGCCTAATAATTTAATGAGCTAATGAGCTAATAATTGAATTTATTATTGTCTTGTATTTTATTCCATGTATATTGTTGTGATAATTATGACATATTAGTATGAGTCATTTTGGAGTATGCAGATAATAAGGTAATAAGATATAATAAGGTAATATAATATACTGTAGCAAATAATAGATAGATGATAGATCGATCTATCAATAGCTTATTTACATACTTTTCCTGTAAAAAAATTTCTCTGATTTTAGAATCTTAGATATGCAGTTTTTGCATATTTCTTAAAATTAGCAAAAGTGTGAAGATATAACTTTTGATTAAAAGCTACCAAAATAGTAATTTTCATTAATATACAGTAAGCATCACATAGAATAGTTCAGTGATGGTGAACCTTTTTGGCACAAAGTGCCCAAAAGGGAGTGTGTGCATGTGTTCATGCTCATCTGGGACATGACCTGGAAGAGGAGCTGCCCAGTGGGCATGCACACACCGGAAAATGAAGCTCCAGTTTCTGGCACTGCCACACACACGAAGGCCACATGACCATCATGAGCGCATGTGCACCAGAAATCCAAAAGAGAAACAGGCAATGCTGCGCATACCAGGTAATATCGCTCTCTGTGCCACTTCAGGCATGTGTGACATAGGTTCGCCATCACAGGAATAGTTTATTCATATTTGTCCTCTTCTACCAACCATACTGAGCTAGATAATTGGTCAGAATTCTTAAAAATTTAGAACCAAACAGTTGGAGAACAATTATTTCATGTAAAAAATTCTTGATAAATTACATGAGAACATTCATGTAATTTATCAGCTTATTTTCTACAGTATTCAAAAGAATGTATATCTGAAAAAAAACTAAGCCAACTACAGAATCCTTGAAAATGGCACTGATGGGCACACTATGTCTGAATATTTTGTTAATGTGGCTAATTAACTATTTACAGATATATTCTAAGAATTTATTTAAATTAATTTTAAAGGTTTGGTTCCAAACCATGGTCCTGTAGTTAGACTTTCTTAAAAACTATTTTGCAATTTTTATAGTTACACATATCTATAAAGAACTATTATTCGAATTTATGGTTTGTGACATATCATGTGTTTACTAGTTGACGTTTCATCTGATAAAAAATGTCTTTCATCCAAATGAAGTTTAAACGGTAAGGACTAGGTGGATTATGTAATAAACTGAAAACATTTCTTTCGTTTTCTAAAAAAAGGCACATTTTAACACCTGCAACTCACTTAAGAAAGTAAATGTTTCAGACAGAGCATACTAATGCAGCAAGTCCTTGTGACTAAGATTTTAAAAATAATTTTCACAGCATTTCATTTCCAAGAGTGCACCTGCTGTAGCCTTGCCTTGCTAAACTCATTTGCCAATATATTTACATTCCTATTTAACTTTTTTGCAGACTCAGCAATTCTTCTCTGTATCTATTTCAGAGCTATTAGTATGTTTTATTCTTCATAAATCTGTTCCCCCCCAGTATTTTATTCAAAAACCAAATTGAAAATAATTTTATAGTTTTATGATATATAACAATTTATGCATATTTAAAGTGTTACTATAGTTCAGTCTTTTCACAAAAAGAAATGTTTCTGAGCCACAAATCAGGAAATACATCTGGAAAATAAAAAGACCAATAAATATTTTTAATCACCTGATAATAACATTATAGAATCAGTCTTATTTTTCACTGGTTTCTTTCTTAATTTTCTGGACAGTATTAAAAAAATACAATGTATGATATTCAAAGATCAGCGCAGAATTAATTATATATTATGCCTAAAATGCTTTCAAAACAAAATACCATATTTTAATTTTTGAGATTTGTATGAAACAAACCTGTAAAATTGATATTATTTTGATTATATGACCAAAACCATGCAGAAATATAGCTGAGAGAAAATAAAGAAGAGAAAGTGTTGTAGAGAATATAAAGGCCTGCTAGGTATTGCACTTTTAATAGGGAATCTATATTCTGAAATAAGGTTTTTTTTGGTAAAGATGATCACAAAAGTTATTTGGCAATCTTTATTAGGCAATTACTGGGTATTTTTATGTTATTTGCTTTTCTATGTGGTAATATGCTCTATTACAAAATTTACCTTATTATTTATATTTTAAGGTCTATATCTTAATAAATTTGAATATAGCAATGAACCTATTAATTATGCTTTAAAAATCCAACATTTTTAATAAAATAAATCAGATATAGGCCTTCAAAATTTTACAGAATGTTTTAAGTCACTGATTCCTTTTTAAATTATTTCATTATAGTTATATCATTATGTTTAATTAAAGGCATCAGTGTAATGTATACATCACAGAAGAAATCTGAGTTCATTCTAGTTCATGCATCGTGCTTTTGTTTTAACAGATGCCTTCTCCTTTTTTAGTATTAAAGTAAATGCAGTAAGCAGTAAAAACTATGTAAAACGCACTGATTTTTCACGAAATATGTGACATTCTCTGAAAGTGAACAGTATCTTCTATCATCCATAAAATAGAGCTACAATTGATATCATAGCTTTGCACGGTGTTATCTCTTCTGAGACTGTCGGTAATGTTCTCTACTAAAACCACTTTTCTTTCCTGACTAAATGCAGGGTCTATGACCATGATGAGCTTAATATCAGTAAAGATTAGCTAATGGTAACAGCACCCATGATTTAAATTTAACTTATAAAGGAAAAATCAAGGACTAAATTGAAACACATTTCTGGAAAATGATTGAGAAGTTTAATTTGAGAGATGGGACACAAATAATTCCTTTCTCTCACTTATTCCATCCAAACTTGCCAATTTCTATTTCTGCTCAGATGAAATAGAATTAATGAAGAGCCTGGAAAAGAATGTGGTATATAAAACATTCCTTCACCATAGTATTATGACTGGAGCACCTCTGAAAAACCATAGTTAATGTCCATAGGCTCCTTTACTATTCTATCATTATCACTTCTGTAATGTTTTCAGTATATGTAAACACAAAATTGAAATAGCAAATACTTGGAAAATCATTTTTGTAGCCTTAAAACTACAGGACTGTTTACAGTGGTGCAGGAAAATCTGGAATAGATTTTCAGAAATTAATGATAAAATGTAAGATTCAATTGAATCCATTGTACATCATTTGCTATGAGACATAGAAAATAAGACTACTGTAACATTTTCTTTATAAGCAATGTAAAAAATGTCTTTTTGCCAAAATATACTGTGTTTCCCCGAAAATAAGACAGGATCTTATTTTCTTTTGTTCCCCGAAATAAGCACTTGGCTTTATTTTTGGGGAGGTCTTAATATTTCTGAAGTGCAGGAGGTGGCGAGCGTGGTCACCTCATTGCTGCTGCTGTGTTGCAATATTTTTGGGAGGGCTTATTTTCCGGGGAGGGCTTATTTTAGCACATGCGCTCAAAAGCTTGATTGGGCTTATTATCTGGGGAGGGCTTATTTTTGGGAAAACAGGGTACTATTATACTGTAAATCTATATTATCTTTTGTAATATCATTGTTTACAAAAAAAATAAAATATTGAAAATCACATTGCTAAATTTGCTAATAGTTTTTCAAATTATATTACAAAAATTCTAGCAATATCATGAATCAAAACTGTAATAAAAATTATAATGTGTTATTTGAACCAGATGTTTTATAACCAATCATTAAGCTCGGATATAAACCTCAGGAGGGAGAGGAACAGTTACTGTATGCTTTAGTTTTCAGCACAATCTTATAGATGTTTTATTAATCCACACAAATAATATTTATTTCCAGTTAAAAATATTGAATGGAAAAATAGATGTTTCAGGGTGGCTTTAATGCACTATAAGTGTGAAAACAACAAATTCCATACTAGGTGTCATAAGAAAAGAGACTGAAAACTTTTATAATGCCCTTATACAAATTTGTGGTATTTTTCCATCAGGAACACTGCTTACGAATCTGGCAGTAATATTTTTCAGAATTACCAGTTGGGAAATTTAAAATTGTAACCTCTGAGAAGTCCAGGGCAGTGAAAAGAACTGGATTGCCTTTGTTAAATTTCCAATTACTTCCAATTTCTTAGTCAGATAGATTTATAATGGTAAGTTATACTGGCAACCAAGGCAGTTAAAATAATATTGAAAATAGGAATTAATATAAACTAACCATCAACATGAATATCTCAGTAAGCCACAGTATATAATATGCTACATGCAGCAGTCCCTTCTCAATGATAAGATGAAGAAGTTTCATTTCACCATAATTGTCCATTAGTGAAAATAAATAAATAATCAGATTCAATGTAAGCTAGAATTTTAAACAATGGATTTTTGCTGTTATAGTGTTAATATATAAGATGTAATGAAATAAATTAAAATTATTTATATTTAAAAGTAATTAAATATAGCAGGTGTAAAAAGACAGAATAGGTGCCACTGATATTCTGATATTTTAATCTAAAATACTCCAAACTTGTCTTTCTGAATAATTTCTACTTACACAAAAACATTTCAGAATAACAAAAAAGATGTTATTTTCCATAATTTAAAACAATAAATGTTTTATAAATAAATAAATGTTTATCAAATGTTTTATTTTTGAAAAGATAAGAAAGTATAAGAATGTTGATAAATTTTATATCAAGTTTTATTCAATTTCTGAAAATCTAGAAATACTGTGCCATATTTTAGTATTTTATTTCAATCAAAATATAATTTTGGTGGTATTGGGTTCATGACTTCAAGGTGTAATATTTTGGTTAGTTAAAGGATGGATAAACCAGGTAGACATGTCTTGTCACTTATGAGATGTTCAAATTTAGGTATCTGAATATCCAGCATCAATTTGATTTACAGATATCACAGTCACATGGAACTACAGTAATTTGCTTTTAGCTGTATGAGTCCATACATACATAACTTCTATGGACATTTGTGAGTCAACAGATAACTGTAGGTATAGCAAGACATGGACAATATTGTGATAGGTATTTAATAAGGTTATATCCCCATTGTGTTACACATATTTTAAATAATTTTTAAAATTATCGCTATACAAGGAAAATGTAATTTGGTAAAACTCCAAATAATGAATAAAAACTCAAAACATAAAGAATATTGATAATAGTTCAGCATCCATTAAATTCACATTCATAATACTTACAGTGTATTTCTAGGACTTGCATTGCTATCTGAGGTGTGGAGTTCAACGATTCATGATCTACTCTGCAACTTACAACTGCACCATCATCAGAACGATCTGCTCTGTAATTCATTGTGCTGCTAACGGTAAATGTTTTCCGATTTGCATCCTCTTCTTTTAAATATTTAACATCTGTAAAAAATAAAGTTTGCTATAATTTAGCATTAAGGGCTGGCAATAAAAGGCAGCTGAAGACTAGAGAACATGAAATCATTTTAAAACAGCAAATAAAAAATGTACCTTTCATCATGTTTGCTTATCTTATCAAGGCAAACAAGTTCTATTTCCAGGCATTCCTTTGTCTTACAGAACTACCCATGTTGTCATTCCCAAATGTACATAGACTACAGATGGGAAATGCAATTTCAGTAAGAACCAAAAGACAGAACTGTCAGAATGAGATTCTGTTCCTCATTATCTTTAATATAATTAGATTGCAATCCAAATATTTTTCCCTTAAGACTATTTTCTTTCCTCGTGCCTTTTCCTCCCTCCCTTTATCTATTGGTATTTTAATCATTGTCAAATTTCCTTTGTTTATCTTCTCTTTTCCTTTTCAGTATGCACAAACAATATTAAGTAACAAAACAATGGAGATCTTAAAACTTATTAGTCAGCTTCAGACTAAAACTTTTATAGTACAAAAAAAAAATACTTTGATGAAACTTGCACCAGTTTGTTCATGTTATTTTCAATTCTGGATGAAAAAGCCAAATAACCTTACACTTATTAACAATGACATTTGAAACTATTATTAATATTATTTAACATTGATTTATTTTTGGTATACTTATTGATAAATGTTACAGTGTTAACAATTTTTAATCAACACTGTACAAATACCACTACACTCTGCCATTATGATCACAAATGAGCGTAAAATTTCTATTGCTGAATGAATCAGTTGTTAAATGAGGGGTTTTTTGCAGCTTTTCTGGCCATAGTTGTTAGGTTGTTAGATGAATCACTGCAATTGTTAATAACACTATTGTTAGAACACAGTTGTTAGGCTGTTAGGTGATTCACTGCAGAAGTTAGTAACACAGTGTGGGAAGAAATATCCATCTGGTTCAGTTCCAAGCTGGGACAAAGACAAACAAACATGGAGGCTGATTGGAAAGATGGTTTAATGATGAAGCAGAACCACATGTGGTTCTGGGCAGCTGACAAAATGGAATGGGGGTTTCTATACCTTCATTGAATTTTGTATTTAAGCTTCCTATTTCTGTGCAAGAATATATATATTCTATTTGCTGTTGCCAGATTTCCATGGGGCCATGTAAAGGTCATAGTTTGCTCTATATGCAAAGTACAAATTCTAGGTGGTTGTCTGACCTAAGTTCGGTTGAAGTTTGGACTGCTCTGAGATGATGCAATGAAGGGCTTGGTTCTGAAAGAGTGTTGGGCAATTCCTATTGTGTTTTAATGGTTTTCATCTTGTTTTGGCTCTTGGGTGATGGTATTTGTTTATGAATAGAGCTATCTAGATACTTCTTTCAATAATCTCTTTATCTCTTATGTGCAGACATCTTCAGTGAGCTATTAAAGAAAGTGGGAGTTGCTTTCTGCCTCTAAAAACATGTTTTTTTCCATTTCTCCCCTTGGGAAATATAATAATCTGCCTTTTTAAATATTCCTAAAAATATTTCATTCTTCTAGGATGGTGGTTGCTGACTTTCTACAACAGTTATTAAGTTGTTAAGTGAATCTGGCTTCCCCTTGACTTTACTTGTCAGAAAGTCACAAAAGGTGATCACATGAACCCAAGACACTGCAACCATCATAAATACGAGTCAGTTGCCAAGTGTCTAAATTTTGATCACATGACCATAGGGATACTGCAATGGTTATGAGAAAAATGTGAGAAATAGTTTTTTAGAAATTTATTCATTTTAAAAATGTTTATGCAAAAAGCTATTTATTTTTCATTTGCAACTATACCTACTGTATGTCGCATTGCTTTATGGTATGCAAAATACACCAAGAGATTAAAAGGAAAATAAATTGGAGAAAGACCATAAAAGAAATTTTTTTTAACTACATCAGCACTATTCACTATATTTTCTATACATTTTTTTCTTGTAATTTATCCTATCTATTCATAGATGTTAATAGCAGAGGTGGGTTCCTACCAGTTCAGATGGGTCAGTCGAATCAGTAGTGGTATGCCAGCCTGGGTTGCAGAAAGTATTGTAACGTGTGGGTTGTTGTTGTGAGGGAATTGACACGCAGGAGCCATGTGCAAGACAGATCTTTATTATAACACTGGTGACAAGCGATTCAAACGTTCCCTGCAACTGTCAGGGTATTTATACTAGCACTCAGACCAACTGTCAAAACGACCAACCAATCAGGTCGCAGCTGGTATTTGCATATTGAATATGCAACAGAAAGGCAGCGACCCAGGCTGGAAATGCCTCTGAATCAGTTCCCTGGTCGCCATCGTCACCATCTTGTTTTTGAGTTCTGCACATGCACGAAACAATTTCCATTGAACTGTGCATGTGCGCGCACATAGCATGCACATGAGCAAACCTGCAGTAACGCCGGTCAGAACCCATCCCTAGTTTACAGATTACTGTTTGTTCTGTAAGGTATTTATTATTTTGTGAAAAAGAAATCTCATCAAATCCACAGTTTTTCTTTTCTCTTAACTGCTTAGTAATAGAATGCATGAAGGCTAAATATTTTATATTTAATTTACACAAGAGAGATAATTCTGATAAATAATTTATGGAAAATCAGTCTGTTTGGAATGGGACAATTCCTGTATAACATACCTGTATTTTATTGTATGATATATGTCTCTCTCTGTGTGTGTGTGTGTGTGTGTGTAGGTAGGTAGGTAGGTAGGTAGGTAGGTAGGTAGGTAGGCATATAGAGTTGAATTCCCCTCCCAGTATTCAAGAGTTAATATGGCTTTAGAGAGTAGAGATGAAAATTTTCCGAAATTGCGTAGTAATGTGCTTTTCTCTCTAACACTAGACCTCTGAAGTCCTAGAAGCACTTAATTTGAGATAATGCACTTAGTTAAATTTTAATCCTCCTTGGAATGCATGGCAATTAAAAACAAATGGGTATGTTTTATAAAACCAGCTTGATTCTATGCTATTTTGAATCTTTTCATTGACAAGATTAATGTGAGAGTCATTCATTCCATGGTTCATCAGCTGTTGTCTAAGTCATTTCCCATCAACTGAAGTGACATGACCCTTTTATACTATCTGATTATAATAAAAAAAACAACTTCTACAGTTACGTGCTGCTCTTTTGAATCTATCTGAGATAGGCATTGTTCTGTATTTCTGTGTTATGTATTTCTTTACTGCCATAAAAGTGCAATCTGAATTTTTGAAACTCAGATTTTCTATCCATAGCAATTGTTATTCCATAATGTTAATCATACGTAGTTAGCTTTTCTTAGCATAAATCATCTTTTCAAGAAAAACATGCAGTTTTAGATAAATGATAAAATATGCAGTCAAAGTATGGAACAACTTTTATGTACATAAATTATGAATGTCATGATGCATTTTGGTTTACTGTCTTTAAAAAAAGCTTCCTCACAACATTTTGGATAATAGAAAAGTGAAACTTCAGATGGGGGGGGGGGGAGTATTGTATTTGAATGTGTCCTCAAAACTTTATTCAAAATAAGCAAAGGAAGCAAATTGTTTCAGTTTTATACATTTCATTAATTCTCATTTGAGAAATCTGATTATAATATTTTGAGAACTGAATACATAAATTGAATACATAAATAATAATTTATGAAAAATCAGTGCTAAAAATAATGAATAGTACTGTACTCAGTTTGATATGATCAATTGTTAGGTATTGTTATAGGTTATGATCTGTAAAATTCAGATGATAAATAGTAGCAAAGATTATTGAACCAGAGATGTTTTATGATTGTATAGTATAAGACACAGCCAAACTATTTAAAGGACATGTTCATAAATGTTAGAAAAGTGAAATTATAAAACTATAGTACAGAGAGATCCTTTTCTATTGAAACTCATCTTGCAACAGGAAAGGGAGACTAATAATTATTGTGACCCAAATTAGTGCCATGGTTTCAGTTCCATAACATACATACATACATATATAGTGATTATGAAACAATAATTTAGGAAAATATAGACATGCTATTGTATAGAGTTCTGGATATTTCTTACAGATATTTCAAAGAGTTTGAATACTTGGCTAATTTACTAAAATACACACCATTCACAGCTCCTCTGAAATAAATAGGAACACATTCTATCAGAAGCACTAGTGCTGCTTGCAAAAATCCATGAATTGATTTAGTAAAGAAAAAAAGTCATACAAATTAATGGAATGTGTTAATATTGAAGTGAAAATTCTCGAGGGTAAAATAATATGAAAAAAAATGCGAGGAAAAAAAAATCACCAAAGGCTTCCAAAAGTCCAGATTACTTATTGCTTCTTTGAGATTGAACCCATTTACTAAACTAAGTAAGTCTAATTTAGAGTATTTTTTTAAAACCTGCCTTTTCCAAAATGTCTCTTCTCTGTTAATTATCCATAACCATGGTAAAGTATGATACTATTCGAATTACAGAAAGTCATATAAGGCAGAAAAGGAGTGAGAAATTATAAGAAAATGAAATTAAAATCATGAAATGAGAAAAAGTAAAGGCATCATAGCTACAATTATATCACCACTTTTACATTGTATTACTCTATCCTTGTAAACCAGTTTTCTGTCATCATTTTATACACAGCTTTACATATTCTTTTGTTGTTGTATTTCAAGAACTCATCAAATCTTTCCAACTATGCCTTTTTAAGGTTTCCCTTTTCTATCAATGTAAAAACTTGTTCTTTATATATTAATTTTTAAATTAATTCTTTCTGCATTTTCTCTACAAAACAAAATTATGTGCACATGTTTATTTTATCATATTTTGCACTTAGTTTATATATATTTAGCATCCAAACATTATTGACTCTATCTGTTCTTTTTACAATCTGGACACTACAGGAATATCCACTTGTATATATCCTATTTTAGTATCTATTAAAATCTATTCTATAGATAATTCTATCATCTTTTAAATTACATTATAGTATTTTAATTCTAGATTCAAGTATTTTTTCTCTGTATTTTGTTTAACTTTTATTTTCAACTACTTCTAGGTTTATTCCTTTCTAAGGTCTTAATGTTCTTCAGCTCTTCTTGATTAAGATTACTTAAAGTCACTTGTGTGGCTTTATCTGACTCTTAAGGGATGGAAAGTTGATGTTTCTTCCAGGTATCTAGTATAGTTCATCTGTGGTGGTGATGTCTTAATTGCTGCTGCTGCTACTTTTTTCTTCTGCTTGGTTCTTTGACACACAGCTCTTTGTTACTGTCTCTTTTTTAACTGGTATATGTATTAATGACTTCTGTAGATCGGTTATGCCAGAAAGGTGAGCCATCATTAGGCTGCTGAAGATTATGTGAGTAAATATCTAGTAAGGCATTTTTATTGTTCCATTTGGGCTTTCAACACCTCCTTTCCAATCCATAAACAACTTAGCATCCCAGTTCTTGCCACCAATATTTACAGGACTTTGTTGATTCTGTTCATGTGACCCACTTATTCATGCCAACGCTTCTCCTCTGCAGTTGTCCAGAGGACTTGGGACTTCTTGCTTCTCTCATTATATCTAATTTCTTGACCCTTCTCTCTTATTTCTTCACAACTCATCTTTTCATTTCTCCTTGGCCCTTCCTTAATTCTTTTCTCTCCTTCAGGATTCCACATTTCTTCTTTTCTTCACCACCCACAGTTTCTTTAACTGGACTCCTGTTTAATAGGTCAACACAATACATAAAGGATAAGTAGGGCCTTGAAAAGAAATTAGAGAGAGAGGAGCATAGGTGTTCTTTTGGTTTTGTATCCTTCCTTTCACAACTAACAGTTGCACATCTTAAAATTCATTTTATTACTATATTGTTAGCAGGTGCTTTATCAAGGAACACAAATTTATCTAGTTAATGTAGTTTTCCCCCACTATTTATATATGATTTATATTTTACATATGAAACATAACTACTTTGAGCTAAGATATGGGAATTTTCAAATACATGCTGCTTTTATCATATAGTCTATAGTTCAGTTTCTTAGCCACCAACAAATTATTTGTTTTTAATGTACATACTGCATTTATATGTATTTTCCAAATGACAACTTTAATGCTACCACAGTCATTTATTGTTCATTTATTCTTAACTATATAAAGAAATGAAAGTAATTCATACATTTTCCTTAGTCTGTTAATGTCGAGTTCACTAATGCTTATTGTTTATTATTGTGAATTCTTTAGTTTCATTATATACTGTTCCTATTGAATTGAGCAACCAGCGTTCTATTATATATGCATACAAAATATAAAGTACAAGATATAATTTTTCTAAATAAACAGATTTATTCAAACAAAATTCTGGCCTGGACATGCCAATACAGAGTTTCATTATAGTTTCCAGAATTCGCTCACTGTTACCTCTTATACTCTTAATAAGAATTCTGGTAATTATAAAAAAAAGAGCTTGACTGGCTTCAAAAAAGAGTTGGACCAATGAATGAAACTCAAGAAAATCAAAAGCTATTAGTTTGGATGGCAGCATGATTGCTTCTGAAGAGCATCTGCTGAGAGACTAATGGGCTTCCTTGTCCAGGTGGTTGATCCCTATGAAAAGAGATTGCTGAACTCATGAACCAGGAGTTTGATACAATAGGACATTGCTTATTTTCTTATGTTCCTGCTATTTTTGGCAAATATTTTTCCTGATGCACCATTCTCCTATACCTTCACCCTTTGGAGTTTGGAATAACTACAAATATGCCAAAGAGATGGTGAGATTGCAACAGCGTGATGATGTTTTCAACAGATACACCAGGCCACAAGAAAATCAGTTCTATGTTTTCAACATACACACAGTCCAAAAGTAAATAAGTTCTATATAACAGTGCGATGATGTTTTCAACAGACACATCGCTCCATAAGCAAATCAGTTCTATAGCAAATCAGTTTTATAACATTTTTTTCAGTTGTAACATCTACCTCTCCGTCTTATAATTTTTCAACATTCTTACAGTATCTTCTTTTTCATCATTTTTTTAGACAATAACATTGGTCTAAACAGTTTACAATTTAATATAAAATATTATTTACAACAAATTATTTCACCACATTTAGTTTCCAATTCTAGTCTTAAATGTTATTTTCTGTTTTTGACTATTGTCTTTCTCATCCTCAAGTTTAGCAGCAATCATTCTCTTACTTGCTTTTCTCCTTCTGTCCACAGTCTTCTTCACTTCAACTTTCTATCAAACATCTTTCCCAATAACATAATGCCATTTGTTGGTGGAACTCTGAAATATAGTATTTTAAAACTGTTCCAGATTTAATGTAGCAGATTCTACATTATTTCTTATCTCTACTGTCCATTTGTCCAGTTGAGAATCATATTATTTTTTATAAAGGATTTACACGTTTTTCTTGCAATCATTGTACTTTCACTCATTTTTTTCACTTTTCACCCTTTACTTCCTCCCCATCAACCACTATTGTCAATAGCAAAGCATAATACATCCTATATTTAGAACTTCATATCACTCTTGTATCCTTTACTAGTCT